GCCATGCCCACCATGCGGAGGACCGTGTCGGAGATCCGCTCTCGAGCCGAGGGTGAGTGGCCGCCTCGAGCCCGGGGCGCGCGCGGGGGCGGCTCGGGCAGCCTGGGGTCTGGCGGGGCGCGCGTGTGCGTGTGTGTGTGTGCGCGCGTGTGAGTGTGACGGGGAGGAAGAGACATCCCGTCCCAGCTCTTCTCCTGGCAGTCTGGCTCGCGCCGTCCCTGGGGGACCCTTCCTAGAGCACTTCCTGCAATGCACGCTGGAGACTCTTTCCAGGCTCGGAACCCGGAGATGGGCGTCCAGGGCGGGAGGCTCCGAGCGTGCCTTGCACCGCAGCGCGTCTCCAGCCCGGTCCCCGAGACGCTCGCCCTGCCACCTCGCTCCGCGCTAGCTCGCAGACCTCGCGGTTTCCGCTCAGCCTCCCCACCCGGCCAGCGGATCCCCAGCCCGCCGCCCACCTTTCTGCAGCCCCCTCTTCACAGCTCCCCGAAAAGTGGGCTAGCCTTTCTTAGGCTGCTGGACCCGTCGAACCCTCGTCCTGGCGTGTGGGAGCGCAGGAGCCCGAACTGGGGTTGGGCGCCCGCGGGTGCCCTGCGTGACAGTCTGCAGTTGCACCTCCTGCAGCCAGGTCTCCGCCGGCTCCCGGCTGACGTTTGGTTTTGTTTTTCCTTGAGCCTGAAGCCCGTACTTTGGCCAGCCGAGCTGACTTTTTAGCAAGGTGGAAGCTGTTGTCTGTGCTCCACCCAGGCCAGCTGTTGAATGGATGCACTTGTCAGCTCTGAGCAACAGATGCCCCGGGATGGCGAGGAGGCGTTTGCAGGCCCGCGCTCCTCCTCCTCTCCCGGAGCCCGCAGCATCCTCCCGGCGGTGGCAGGCGCTCAGTAAACATGCCTTAATTTCGTTCAGGGCAGAGCCCAGACAGAGTGCCCATATCTCCTGTTCTGTTTGTCTTTCTCTTGCATTAACTGCAGGAGAACACTGCTAAGGCCAGAATAGGAAGATGTGAGGCTTGATCCATTTTGCCATCATCACTGCGCGTCCCACCCTTCGTCCCTACCCCCACTCTGGAGTGTGAGGCAGGTGGGAACATGGTTTTTGGAAAAAAAAAAAAAGGTACAGAAGTTAGGAGAGTGGATTCCAGGGGTTTGAGATAAGCCATTTTCTTAGCTTCCTTCCCCATGTAAAGAGTAGGGGCCCTGGGCTTTCATAGCTGGGATTTTCTGATTCTATTACTTGAGATTTTATTTTTTTGGAGAGGTTTTTGCTATAGGGCACATACGCTTGCCAGACAGACAGAGACAGAGAGATAGAAAGTGAGAAATCACCCCCCAGGGGGGATGGCCACTCCGCAATCCCTTCTCCTCCTTTCTCCTCTCGGGATCTTGGGCACACACGCAAACGCACCCGGCGTGAGTTTTAAGCCACCGGGTCCGGGACGCGAACCGCGGTCGACTACATGGGAGTCCAGAGACATAGCCATTGCACTAACTGCTGGTCCCTATCACTTGAGATTTTGAGTGAAACTGCTGCAGGATCCAGGCCACACAGGACACCAGAACCAACCTGTGTCCTATCTAGAATTCAGCAGGTGCTCAGTGTCACCTGTAAGGTGTTGAAACACCCTTACCGAGGGCAGCACCGTCCTAGGTACCCAGAGTGGGTGATGGTACTGTAAAGTCGTCCACAATAAAAACATACTCATTTCTGTTCACTTCTGACAATAGAATTTTGCTCACCATTCGAACCATAGAGGTCATGACAATCTGAGGCTATTCCAAAAGGTTCACGGAGAAAATAGAATTAAAGTCTCTTTTGGTGCAACATATTTTGAAATGCACGCCTAGTTTTTCATCACGCGCCTTTTTCCCTGAACCGTTTGAAGCCTCCGTGTGTTGCGGTAATAGGTTGTGGTGTTTTGTGAAATAGTAACAATGAACTTATACATTTGGGAAAGAGACAAGAAGGCAATGCACACCTGGTGGCGTGGGAGAGGGTTTCTTGGTTCGGAACCGCCGCAGTCTTGCGCTTGATTGGCATAGATAGATTGCAGAGTACTTTCCCCAAGATCACCTGAGAACCTTGCCACACTCGTGGGGATTGTGAAAGTGCAGTCCCATCTGTTGGTGGAGGAATCTGTGGTTTAGTGACTTGCCCAAGGGTGAGGACCTGGTTGGCTGACACACTTGGATTGAGCGCTCTGGGACAACAGGACAACTTACTTCATGTCTGTAGGCCTGTGTGCCCAGCCCAGTGGCAAGATCATGGTGCTGCATGGTGAGGGACCGTTCCCTCTTCTGTTGATGGATTTCCGATTCTGTGCTGAGCAGTGTTTTGCTCAGAACCTGGTAAAAACAAAATAATGACTGCAGGTTGTGATGGGTCTCATTGTCTGTCCTGCCCACACCTTTCTTTCCTAAGGATCAGGCTCCTTGGACAGCTCCTGCTGCCTGGGGCAGTGCTCTGACCTGCAGCCTCCTTGGCCTCAGCTGATGGGATCGAAGTGGGCTCCCAGGCAGCAAATCTATGGGTAACTCAGGTACTTACAACTCTGTGGTTTGGCCCCAGAAGATCGTCTGTGCCGATTAGATCTCTCTTGGGAAGTGTTAGAGATTTAGAGTGAAAATCGAAGCAGAGAAGGGCAGAGGCGAATAGGCTGGTGGGGAAGAGTGGATCGCCATAATAGGTCTTGTCAATGCTGCTGAGGGAAGGAACAAAGGTCAGGGAGTGGGGACACAGGAAGGAGGATGGAAGGGGTGCAGAGACACAGATGCTGAGAGAAGGGCCGGACCTTGGAGCAGCGCGCCCTCCCTGAGTTTTCTACTCTCTATTCCCAAGTAATCTTAGAATAAGCTCTTTTTTCTCCTTGAAGTGACCTGAATCCAGTTTGGCCAGATGCATGACTGTCACACCTGTAAGTTACTCACAGCCAAACTGGAGGGAAAGGACTTCCGTGAAGTAGGGAATGCAAGTCTGAGAAGGGATGTTATCCATGGGGCATTGTGCTGGCCGTGGGGACACAGGTCCTGCGGGTGACCGTGAATCTCGCATGTCTTTATCCCTGAGCACAGAGCCCATGAACGCACATCACTGCATTGGGACACAACAAGCCCTCCCCAGTCAGTGCTTTTCCAACTTCCAGGTGCACGCGAATCACCTGCGGATCTTGTTAAAGGCAGATTCTAAATTCACTAGCTCTGGAGTAGGCCTGGAGATTTCGAGTGACTTTTTTGGGGAGAGGTTTTCGCTATAGGGCGTGTGTGCTCGCCAGACAGACAGAGACAGAGAGACAGAAAGCGAGAAATCACCTCCCAGGGGGGATGGCCACGCCGCAATCCCTTCTCCTCCATTCTCCTCTCGGGATCTTGGGCACGCACGCACACTCGCCCCGCTGAGTTTTAAGCCACCTAGTCCAGGACTCGAACTGTGGTCGGCTACATAGGAGTTCAGCGACATAGTCATTACGCTAACTGCTGGTCCCAGAGATTTCGAGTGACTGACAGGCTCTCAGGAAGTGCTGGGTGATACAGGCCTGTGGACCCTGGCCTGAGTAGCAGTATCCTAAGGGATATCACCGTGTATTTCAGGGCTCGGGAGGACGTTGTTGAAGGTAGTGAGCGATGGCATGAACAGTGAAGAGCGAAGATGGCTGATTGCGGAGTTCTTAAGGAAATTGGCCAGGAGCAGAAGGAAACTTGGAAGGAGTGGGATGTAAACTTGGATGGGTACAGTTCTGCTAGATTACAGAGCACACTGAATGCCCAGTGAGTCATTTGGATATAGAATCCAATATTTTAACAGTCTTAGAGTTCATCTAATCTAATTTCTCACTTGAACAAGACACACTATAGAGTAGCTGACAGGCCTGGCTGGGAGCCAAATCATGATAAGGTTATAAGGGAGTGACATCGCAACAGAAGTATCTTACTTCGGTAAGTCTGGAAGTGTATTGCATTGTTGGGAAGAAAGGTATTGTAGATAGACCCTTTTATTTTTTTAAAAAAGAATTATTTTATTTAACTTTATTCATGGATTTATTTTAATTTGACCAGAGAGAGACAGAGTGAGAGAGAGCGAGAGAGAGCAAAAGTGACAAAGCAAGCTGCCAGGTCCGGGACTTGAACCATGGGCAGCCATGTGGGAGTCCAGCACCCTTAACCACCATGCCACCTGCCAGCCTCTAGATAGACCCTTTTGTAAATAAAGTAGTAACATGATAAAGGTCAGGCATAATGTGGGAGTGGAATGGTCAGAATGCCCAGAGAAGAATGAAGAGATTTCTGACTAAGTCATGAATTCATTTAACAGGTTGCTTTTGAATTCCTACAAGTACTGTTCGGGAACTTGGTATGCTCAAGTGAACAGAATGGGAAAAGCCCTGCCCTGAAGGTGCTTCCATTCTAGCGTGGCAGGAGAGAAAGCAAACACAAAAACTGAGCAGACTACAGAATGGGTTAAGGAAGGAAGTTGGGAGGGGCTGTGAGGAACATACAGGAAAGGTAAGATGTGTCAGGTCGGGATGGGTTGCAATTTTATGTAGGGTGGTTAGGCTAGGCTTCATTGTCACGAAGGCAGTGAGGGAGTTAGCTAGTGGGGATGTAGGGATAGGGCGTTCTAGGCAGGAGGAACAGCCAGCGCTTAGGACCTAAGGCAGGACAGAGTCTGGCATGTTAAGGAACAGCGAAAGGGTGAGTGCTAGGAATTGAGGACTTAGCTATGTAGTGAATGCAAGACAGGAAAGAGGAAGGCAGTTTTCAAGCAATGATTTAGACTTTGCATGTTTGTGAGTTCCCAGGTATCTCATTAAAATGCAGTTTCCTGGAGTCAATCTGAGGAGGGCCTGTGAAATCGGTGTTGTTAACAAACCTCTCAGGATATTCTGTTGCTGGTTGAAAGCGAGGAACTCTTCTTTATAATCTTTTTTTTTTTTTTTTTTTTGAGAGGTTTTTGCTATAGGGTACATGCGCTCGCCAGAAAGACAAAGAAAGATCTCCTCTCGGGGTCTTGGGCACGCATGCACACGTACCTGGCGTGAGTTTAAGCCACTGGGTCCGGGAC